TGAGTGCATGAGATTTCTTCTCGTTTGCATTCTTGTAAGCCTTTGTCTTAATACTTAAGACATCATTCATATCAAGTAATTGTCTGTCATTTCTATTCGTGACAAACGGTTTCAAATCCATGCAATTTAACACATAATAGATCCGCAAAACACTTGTAATAACTTTTTTGCAGAGCGTGAGAGTCTTCAGGTATTTAGCAGTTTCATTGCCATATAGTGATCTGCACTTCTTGTCACTACAGGTCATACCTAAAGACTCCATCTCACGAGAGACTGACTTCCAATCGATGTCCAAACCATTCACTGATTTCATAACTGCTTGTATTAGTGCCACAACGGGTGATGTATTGGTCGCTTCGGCAGGATTTTCCTTCCATTCCATCGCGGTCTCGGAACCTGCGATGGGGTCCACAATATTCGTGAGATCTCGAGGAATGGGATCTAATAGGGAATTGGCTTTATATTTGGCTGAACGTGTGGGAGGGGAGCGAATGGTGTCATTGACTTTAGCCATCACTCTAATGTTGATTGTCTTATAATTAAGGAAAGCCATCCCAACCCTTAAATTATTATTCTTGAGTTTTGTGAACCCATTTAGTTTCGCGTCCAACACCTAAACAGATAACAGATAATTAGTCACCAATTCATGGATAAAACAAATGAAAACATTAATAATTACTTCAAACTTATGGGAAACAAAACCCACTTCTTGTCCACTTATTTGGTGACAATAACTCATGAGTTTAGTCAACACCCGCTTCAATGGCATCGACTCATCCAAAAACATCTCAAACTTGTCAGTCCTCTGGCTGTTAATCAACACAACACTCGCTTTCACTTCGAGTGACATGTCTTTCATCTGATGGCAAATGGCATCCACTTTAGCGTCGGCTACGGGCGCCGGTTCCCGAACCGGTGATACTCTCAAGTAAGACATGTTTGATATCTTATTCCTCCTCTTCTTCTTCACAAACGATTGGGTCTTCGGATCCAAAACCTGTTAATTATGACTGAAATTATCATTTCATCCAAAAGTGTCATACAATGAGCGCATACTTCAAACAAATGTGTTTTACAAGTGACATGAAAACCATGGATTAGCTTCAGAGTCTGTATGATTAGTGATAATTCACAGCCTGCGCCACCACTGCCATCACCACCCGGGACACTCACATCGTACTTATTGCCATTGATTTCTACGGTGTATTCAAACGCATGGTTTGAGTCATTCATTGCTCTCTTAATGACAATTAATTGACAATTAAATCACATTTTATTTATCAAAGTGTTTGCGAAATGCAATCAAAAACACACATCGAGTGCAGGTATTTAACACCACTTTCATCCAAAACGTTCACATAATTCATGCATTTATTCAACTATTTCTGCAATCGTCGCGCAAAACATAGCAGTATATCATTGCAATACTTTTGCCCCCAAATCACGTTATTTGTGCTCATTTTGAAACTTTAAACATTTTATTCATTAAATGAGCGCTAATTTCAAACAAATAATTTGATTTTAAAAAATAATTTTTAATTTCTTAAATTATATAACAGTTTGATTAATAAAAATTCAAATAAATATTTTGATTTATAATAAATTTATAAATAATTTTCATATCTATTATCACAAAACAATTGGAAATCTAAAGAGGTTCTGGTTTTATAAGTTCATTGAAAATGTCTTTTTGTGGATTGAATCTCAAGTTTAGGTTTGATGTCATCATTGAATGGATACGAAAACACTTTTAAATCAATTTTGCGTAAGTACTCAAAGCAATTAAACTCGAGATCGTCACCACTCTTGGGATCCCTTAAGAATATGTCAACCAATTCCTCAAACCTCTGTTGACACTCAGTTCCAGACATTGATTCGGAGTTCATTTTCTTGGATATCATATCCCAGAAGTGTGTCTCATTGGTGACCAACATTTCCTTATCAATGGCCACCAATTCTGCCACAGTTTTAGTCAAATGCCAGTCCAGTCGGTAGACATTTGTGTCATCATTGGTTCGTTGATTAAGTAAAATATCGTCTAATTGTGTCAAACAATCACTTCCATCAGAATCACTGCTTTGGTCAGACAATTGATTCACGTCTCTGGGAGTGACTCTAATATTGAGTGCCTTATAACCAGGGAATACAGTCCCGACACTCAGCTCCAAATGCTTGAGTTTTCTGAACTCATTCGCCTTTTCGTCAAACACCTAAACAAACAAATATTTCTAATCAATAAATCCAATCAATACTAAATACAATGAACAAAATTACTTCAAACTTATGGGAAGTGGATGTCAAACTTTGTTCACATATATCGCGGCAATCATTCACAAGTCTATTCAACATGTAATACAAAGACATCGACTCATCCAAAGGCATTTCAAACGAGTGTTCGTTGTTATTGTCAATCAATACAACTTTGGCTTTGAATTCGAGTGCCGTGTCTTTCATCTGATGGACAGTTACTTTAGGCGTTACAGGTCTCGAGTTATTCACCACTGGTTTCTCATCACTTTTTTGTTGGTTCAGTAAAATATCGTCTGATTGTGACAAACAATCGCTTCCTTCAGAATCACTGCTTTGAATGACTGCTTCAGGCATTTGATTCACGTCTCTGGCGATGACTCTAAAATTGAATGCCTTATTATAAGGCAATACAGTCCGGACACTAAACTTAGTATTCTTGAGTTTTGTGTAACTATTTTCACTTTCGTCTAAGACCTAAACAAACAGATAATTACTGTAGTTATTAATCAATACAATGACTGGAAAGCATTACTTGAAAAATATGAGACGCAAACTGACACTTTTGTCCACTTATTTCTCGGCAATAACTCATGAGTTTTTGCAATACGTAATGCGAAGGCATCGACTCATCCAAAGGCATCTCAAAGCGGTATTTATTGTTGTCAATCAATACAACATTGGCGTTGACTTCAAGTCCTGTGCAACTCATTTGAAGTGTCTTTAGGTAAGTGTCTTTAGGGGTGACTATAATGTAAGCATTCGTTGCAATCAAATCCCTTTTCTTGTTCTTCACAAATGATTGACTCTTTTCGTCAAAAACCTATTCATTGAGAAAATATTATTATAATTATGATTTGACCACAAATTGTGAAACAATCAGTAAATACTTGAATTATATTATTATGACGAGTGACGTGAAGTTTATATTTTAGTTGTAAAGCTCGTGTTATTTGCGTAAATGTAATACCATTCTCGTGATCGGCATCTAATCTATTGATATTCACGTCATATTTACTGCCATTTACTTCCACAGTGTAATGAAATTCATGTCTCGAGTTGTTCACAGGTTTTCCATCACTGGTTCGTTGATTAAGTAAAAAGTCGTCTAATTGTGTCAAACAATCACTTCCTTTAGAATCACTACTTTTTGCAGACATTTGATCCTTAATATTGGTCTTTGAGTCATCGGTGGTGAGTGCCATCGAATCCAATACATCTGAAGCGCATTCGCATTCAAACGTCATATCAGTTGCATTGCTATCACTAAAGGTTTTCCGAAATTCATAACTAATGTATTGATTGACAATTGTCTCAAAATTGAGACGAATTTCATAACTTAGACATTGTTTGCCATTAGTTTGCAAATCTATTGCTAAATTTGCCCTCAATTTCATGAGTGAATCGCATTCTTCTGGAGTAATAAATGACACAAAATTGAGTTCATTAAACACCTCGAAAAGTGGCCAAACATTGCACTTCATTTCAGAGCTAATCCCGCGATTCTTGAGTACATAAGTGTAAACGCCAACCAAATATCGCATAAACTTTTTGCACTCGTTTTCGTAGAAATGTTTGTAACCATAAGAAAGCATTTGCTGTGAAAACAATTGCCAATCCATTCTTGACATCGCTTTCACGTCTCTAATCATTTGCATAAACAATAACATCTTTGGATCTGTTTTAGGCTTCTCTTCAGTCTTCGGTATCTTCGAGTCCTTTCCATACCTTCCGTGTCTGTGGGCTTTGGATCTCCTGTCCTCGGGATTGACATCAGTTCTCGGGGTCACACGAATGCGGCTATAGTTTGGAATCTTATTGGTTGACTGGAACTGATTGGACTGCTTATCCAATACCTATTCAATGGTAAAACAGTATTATTATCCCAAAACTTGTGGTAAAATAAGATAAACAATACCTCAAAGTTGTGTGTCTTTTGGCCACAACCTCTGCCCAACACTTCGCCACACTTACCACTAATGAGACCGTATTTGTGCCAATAGTGGGAACAGTTGTCTGCCTCCACTTCAAACTCGTATGTCTTGTCGTTATCAACCAATTCGATGAAACACTTGAACGTCTGCTTCTCATCCTTCATGTCATTGGTTTTGGTCATCACCTGAACTCGCGATCCGTTTTCAATCACTTCTCGCTTCTTATGGATCCGTCGGTACCGTTGCGTCGATTCCTCCCAAATCTTAAGACATAAACAACACGTTAGTAACCAATTGGCAAATGAGATAATCCGTGGATTACGTGAAAAGCGTGTGATTTCATCGTCAGTTGTCTTAAGCCCACTGTTTGTCTCAATTTGTCGATCAAATCAATCAATTGGACACTCATTTGGTGACAATTACTGAACCGAAGACTCAGTTCACTGCCGTTGAAGACAATGTCAATGACCAGAGGCCTACCACTCATAGCCATAGTCTTGGTAATTATGATCGCAATTCAATTGATCCCAAAATTGACCACAAAATCAATGGATATTTGATATGATATTTGGTGTCAAGACTTTTAAATGTGTGAAATAAATAACGTTTTGATTATTTGTAACGGTTTTGAAGCCCTTTGTATTGATTTTCATAGAAATATACAACACTTTAAATACACATTATTTATGAGTCAAGTGTTGTTTATAAATTGCATTTATATATGTGTTAACTGACACCTAAATTCATATACAGTTAACACGATTTAAACACAGATAACAACAAATTGTTTAGTATTTGTGCGGTTTTTTCAAATATAATAATAATTGAATTATTAATAATTAATAAATAATAATTTAATTGAATAACAATTTTATAATAGATTTTTAATGAAAATATCATCAAATAACCCGTAAATACATTTCATTAAATCATACAAATCCTTATAAACTTCAAAACCTTCAATACATACAACATATATATAGCATAAATTGATTAGTCTTTCAAACATTTCGATTCCTTAAAAATCAATTATAATTGTATTATTCACTCGTTTATTGAAATTATTTAAAGAATATTCTGAACACTAGTTATAAATCGCTTATTAAAATTGCAATTCATTTTAACTTTTAAAATTCACTCAAATATTGCAGTCAAAGGGGAGAAAACTTATAATTATTATTAATATTGAGTATAGGATTTAAACAAACAATAATCAAATCGGTTTAAAGGTTGAGATCTTTCAATAAAATTCAAGTCTTTCGATGTGTTTTTTAACCGAAACCTCTTAACCCTTGGGAAGGGTGTCCAGCGCCCGGACCACGTCGTTGAAAATGGCATTTGGGTCCCTTTCCGCACAAATACAGACCACTTTCTCGCCGAAGTTCTCCAGAATGGAGTCCGAGTTCTCGTGAAATGTGGCCAATCGGTGCTTAATAGTCTCGTCGTTGTCATCGACCCGACCGCTGGTCAGCCCTCTGTCCATCAGTCGCTGAATCATGATATCATCGCTGCACCGGAAGAACAGTATTATATTGACTGGACCCACTTCCTTCTCGAAGGCGATCGCCTGATCCAACTGTCCATCAAATATCATACCTATCAGTGCCATACAATCATTATATATATATGCCATACATTTCGCGGGTATCCGTCGACCAGAAATCCATTGGTCCAGCCATTGTTGTGGATGGCCTTCTTGAGGAGCGCCAACACCTGTTCATCGGACACGAGTTGGCCTTTTTTCATCACTTCGTTACAACTCTTGCCTAAGTCTGAACCGGAGGCCACTTCCTCTCGAAGCAAATCGCCGGTCGATAAGTGAGTGAAACCGTACCTAAAGTGGTGATACAGACATCCATTTACTAACTCATGTCTTGAAAACTTGAAACCAACTAAAAGTTGCACAAATCAAACACTTTTCTACTCAAATACTTACAGTACATACTTTGATTTAACTGTAAAATAAAGTGGTGATACAGACATCCATTTACTAACTCATGTCTTGAAAACTTGAAACCAACTAAAAGTTGCACAAATCAAACACTTTTCTACTCAAATACTTACAGTACATACTTTGATTTAACTGTAAAATCAATGAGAAATTATATAATGGCTTACTTTTTAGAAATTCTCTCGCATTGGGTGCCTTTCCCAGAGCCGGGCCCTCCGATCACGAATATAATCACCGGATCTGCCACATGTGTTGTGGTATACATTTTATTAGTTATAAACTGGTTTTAAACACTGAATTGAGCTGTGAATAGGTGTGAAAAATAGTGGTTTAGTATTCACTTCAATAGCCACACGAATGGTGTATTGAATTTAAAGCTGAATCACAATTAGAGGAGACGTGAAGGTTATTAATGCAAACAAATTATGTATGAAATATAATATAAAACATAATCTAATGTCAAATCATATTTATATATCGGTAACATAAACTAATTATACAAATAATATCATAACCATTATCATATACAGGAGTTTTTATTAGTTTTTGGGAAATGTTTTAATTTCATGTTATAACTAACATTTTTATTACTGATAAAATATATTAGTATTCAATTCATTTCAATACAGTTATACAGAATTTCAACATTAAAAACATGAATATTATAACAAAATCACATAACAAACCTATTAATGTGAGCAAACAAATTATCCCAGAATTACTCGTATAATGAAATGAACGCTTAGAGTACAGCGAGGGATGAGTTTTATTTAAAATTATTTTTAGTCAAAATTACAACTGCTTAAACGCACACAAAAGCCAATGAATTTGTGTTTATTTTTAAATTCTGTGATATATATAACTCAATGCGAGGCTTATTACGAGACAAATCAATATTCTGTTTACTATGAGACTCGCTATGAGATAACAACCCGTGTTTTGGCACAGAGTCTGGCATACAGTCTATGTACTGTTCATTACGAGTGAAAGCTATACACTTTTTTCGTGTACTTTTTGCACACACTTTGCATATAAGATATTCTTTGGTTGCAAACAACAAGAATTTAATTGTGTTTTCATATGTTTATCCCTGACTTGTGAATTTAAATCGTCAATATTTACAGAATATAATTATTATGAAGGTCTAAAAATAATGTAATTCCGCATTAACATACCATAGCTTTCAGTCGATTTGGTTAAAAATTTTGTAGTAAATATTTTCTCACTAAATAGTTTTAAACTCGATTAAACTTTGTTTAAAAACAGTGTTAAAAATAGCCACTCTTTGTTTTAAACACCAAATAATACAAAACGAACAATAATTTTATATATAACAGAGGATTCAATTAAAATCAAATTTGTCTTGATGCGAAAATATATCTTAAATCTTATGTTTCAAATGTTAGGAAACTTTAATTTTTAATTCTTTTTAATTTTAAAATATTATAATTTATATGATTATTAGACCCCCTCACTGAAAATCAGCTGCGGTTGAGTGAACAGGGTCTTTAAACATTAATAAATTCAATTCAATTCAATAAATAAATATTTAAACAAAGATTCTTTAAACAAAAATCCTATGTAAACTTAATGAAATTGCGTGTATGTATGGTTATGTGATTATTACATAAGATTTATTATGTGAACATTAGATTAAGAAACTCTTATTATTAATAATGTATTACATAATGCACAGGCAGACTATCATCAATAATAATTTCTAACAATAATACTGTATCATTGATAAGATCCATCAGTATTGAAATAATCAATGAACGTTCTTTGAGACTTTAAATAATATTTTAAATTTATACACGCTATAAACTTAACAGTAACATACTGTACTGTACTGTACTGTACAATGTAGAATCATTAAACTTTATATTCTATAATAATTCTTTATAACGGAATATGGATATTAATAACAGTACATATTTCACTTAATACACATTTTATGATGCATTGATCTCTCTCTCTCTCTCTCTCTCTCTCACTCACTCACTCACTCTCTCTCTCTCTCTCTCTCTCTC